TCGTTGAAAAGGTCACGTCGAGAAAGATTTCACTTGTGTCACGCTGGCTGCTGGTGCACTGTTGTTAACTTAAGTATTACACTATTATAAAAAAAACAATAAATTAATATCTTCTGAAAAGAATACGCAAGCGATATATTCTGGTGAAATTATTTTGTTTACGTGGCTTTACCAAATGGAATCATTATTTACAGTTCCATCTTAAGCACAAATACTAAAATATCTGGGAAACGACTCCCTGAGAAAGGAACGTAAAGAAATATCACGATCTATGTGAGCCTATGCCCGGTTCAAAGGTTCGTGCAAGAAAAATAGACGATTTGTTCAAGCAATATGTTGGCTGAATGTATCGGTAATAACAAGATGGTAGCAGTCAAAAGAAGAAGTGTAAGACAATGCTATAAAAACAATTTAGACACGCTCAACTCAACATACCGCGAATAATAATTCAGACAATAAAACGTCAGCCGACTTTCTATCGACTGCAGTTGTGAACCTGCTATATCATCAAGAAACAATGAGCGCATTAATTGAACGCATATATCGAAGCAGAGGAGAAATTATTACACAATCAACTTGCAATGAAGTTTTCATCGATAGTAAAAGCTAGGCAAATATTAATACTACCAATGTTTAATGAATCTGTGTCACACTGGAACTCGATTTTGTTGTTCATGTTTGAGAAGATGCTTGATTCCGAGACGCATGTATTATTGTATCAGAAGAAGAACCACGAATTCTTTAACAGAAAACAAAGGATCCAGATAGCTTTGTAAAAAGTAAGACAAAACACAATATATGCTTTATAAAACAGCAATGCATAGTCAACTCGTCCTTTGCTAGATTTAGGGCACACTGGATTAGGAAGCACTTTTATAACCGAACCATGCGTACAACGGCTGCAGCATAAATTTAGCTTTGATAAAACTTTACTGTATTAAGTTGGTTCACCAGCGAAGGTCACACTGGAGGAAATATCGAATTAACCATCCAGGTGGAACAATTTGACAGCATGACCAGAATAGAGGAAGTTTGTATATAACTTCAAAGACTCTGAGAAATTGAAGGTCGAGGCTCTGAGAAATTGAAAAACGCACAACGAGCAATCTAGGAACGTCATTGCTGTTTATTGATGATGAGTTAAAGTTAAGAGAATCATGCCAAATTATGCAGTTTTTAAGTAAAGAAGTATAACAAACAAACAACAAACTTTTTACGACAGTCGAAACACAATGCTACCACGTGATATATAGAGCGAATTGTATGATTACTATTGTACCACAATATAAACATATTTTAAAAACTACGTACAAGGTGTGGTCCCAAATAACCGTTATTTTAAGTTTTATCAAAAAATATTTATATATTATATATTATATCCCTCAGATATGATACACTTATTTCAGAGTGTTTTCAACTCGTCGAAACACTTCTGAAACGGGTTTTTTGGTACCGGCAATAGTACCTGCTTCGATTTTTTTATCTCCTCGATCGTGGCAAAACGACCTTTTTTCATCGGTGTCTTCGATTCTGGGAAAAGGAAAATTTCAGCGGGGGTCAAGACCAGTGAATACGGTGGTTGAGGCATAAAAACTGTTTTGCTTTTCGCCAAAAACTCGTGCACAAGCGTCGATGGGTGACCTGGTGCGTATCATGGTGCAAAATCCATGATTGCTTTTTCCACAACCCTGTGCGCTTCTGACAAATTGTTTCGCGCAAACGGCGCATAACTTCGAGGTAGTATTCCTTATTGTCTGTATGGCCTTGTGGTAAGAATTCATGATGCACCACGCCATTCCAGTCGAAGGAAACAGTGAGCAAAACATTCACATTTGATCGCTGAGGAGACCAGGGCGAGCATTGTCATTGACATCTTCTCGGGCTCCCTTAAACCGGTTGTACCAAAATTGGACATGTGTTCAGCATATAGTAGACTCGCCAAGCGCTACAGTCAATGCGCATTTAAATTGATTTTTTAAACAAAACTTAATACAGTTTCTTTTATCCATTTTTTCGAATAGTAAAAAATCGAAGACCACACCAAGGCACGTCTAACATTTTTATCTGTCAAAAAAACTGAGAATCCAAAATGGGTGATATTGCCAACATGTATAACAGACATGTGTACCAACATAAAAAAAGGAAAGAAAATCGAACATATGTACAATAACTTACGAAATTTGAGTATAATGGATATTTTCTGATCACATCTGGTACTTGCCCTGACCACTATTAATTCGCACGGCTGGTGTTTTTACGCATATGCAATGTTTAGCATACAATATATGTGAAGATAATGCAGACAACACATACAAACATATATTTTTTCTGAAAGATAATGGCACAGCTCTGTTGAAATAGAGTCCCATGTTTCTTGCATGCTGTTGTTGTTGTACGCTAACAACAACAAAAATTTTCTTTCTATCAAATAGAGAATAAAATTATCTTTTAGAAAAATATATGTTTGTATGTGTTGTCTGCATTATCTTCACATATATTGTATGCTAAACATTGCATATGCGTAAAAACACCAGCCGTACGAATTAATAGTGGTCAGTGCAAGTATACCAAGCTGCTGTGAATTCAGCATTCGCAGCAGCGGCTTGTATTTGTACTGAGCATATGGAAAGCACGGTGATCAGTCACTTAATTACAGCTGAAAACATACGGTATGACAGCTAAATTAAAATTTGTTTCTACGGCTGGAGTTATGTGTTTCAGATCATCTTATGTCTTGCAAAACATTCTAAATCATTTGAAAAATGGCACCATATTTCATCACAACAGAATGCGGCATACCTTGCTGAAAACAAGAATTTGACCTGCAGAGCTTATAGCTTGAAAACCCTGGTATTTAAACATAGGATAATTACACATGCTGAGAAATTACTAACATATATATCTGAACATCAACATGAAATACCGAATAGCGAAGTCTCATTGCTTATACTAAGATACTGGATCCCAGTGAGTACATTGATGAAAAATTAAACTTGTATTAATGCCCGATTATGTACTAAGATTTACTTAACCTTTTTTAATACGGGCGTTCAAAATACAATACAAAAGCTTCGTTACTAAGACAGTTTGTTGAATTGGTTATAAATTCACATAATTGTACACACATGTTTCAAACATTATACCTAACAAAAATTTCATGCACTTTAAAAATAATGGAAACGACTGATGCAATCATTTTGAAAGAAATGGTCCAGGTTGATCGTAAGTCAGTTACATAAACGACCTAACTCTGTTCATAAACTTCAAAACAAGTCATAAATGACGTAAAATCAAAGATGACAACCTTTTTCCATTAAGTTGACAAATAGAAAGGATCGTGGATACATATCGGATTTTATGTCATAGTTCGAGTAGCTACGGCAAGGCAAAGAAAGCAAAGAAAACGTTCAAAAAGTCAGTAGTGAAGCTATGTACAATATTTTCTTCAGTACTGGTTAATATCAAATATATGGCAATATCTTAAAGAACTAATGAAACCTAGGCGAGCAAATAAATAAACGAAAATTTAAACATTTTCATTCTTAAACTCTATTTTCAAAATAATTTTTTTGTGTGTAAATATAATAAAATTTTACCAATCTTTCATATGTATTACGGATCGTTTTAATAAAATTACAGCTAATTTTTCCTTTTGGAAACAATATTGTAAACACAAGTAATCACGGGTGTTAGAAACCTACCCAGAATTGCTTATTTTTCGGAATTTGAAATGGTTATGAAACACCATATTTGTAATTAATAATTAAAAATAAAATGACTTCGGCAGTGAAGGTTTTTTTTGATGATAGAAGGATTTGAAGAAAACAGCCAAGGACCAATATCGTCTTAACAAAGAAGCCTTTGTAATTATGCTGGATGTCAATGAAGACCAGTTAGATAGGCTTCAACATGCAGGGATACTGCGATTTTTGGCAGGAGGCTCCTATCAATAGTATGTGGGTAATGACTTATATATCTCCTAAGCGCAACCTACACTTTCGGTGGCTATAACAGAAGTGCATAATGCTTTTGAACAAATGATTTCATCACCCTGGATAAAATTAGGAATGAAAGACAATCAAAAGCGGAGAACTCATGAAACCTTGTATCACATTTCAGGTATAACTGATTGTAAAACCCATTGCTTATGACTTATATTTTTTTTAATTGTCGGCTTTCAAAGAAGAAAGCACACATATCGAATAACGAATAACTGCTCGGTTTAAATCTAGCATTTAAACCTACAAATCGGTTTCTGTAACACCTAAAATCGAAACAAATTCTGTTTCGGAAGTGAAACCGATACACAATTCAGTAGTCCGAATGTGTAACATTTAGAGAGAATTTTTTCGGTTTGAATTCTGATTCTGACAACAAACTGTTTTTGTAACACCCCTGATTGTTTGTTACTTGTGCCACAGGTTTTGATGGGTATTTATTATTATTGATTTGAAAACCAACTTTGAAACTAATCTTCGAAGCATTTCAGAATTTAATTGAAAAATCGATTTTTTAAGAAGCCGCAGTATCATTCCAGTAGAGGAAATCATCTTCTTTGGTCAAGTAACTCGTAAGCCTTTAACATTGTGAGGCTCTCGTACTTTTATTCAACAAATTTTCTTGACGGATCTGAAGATCTATCTAGATAAAATTATATCAAGAAAAAAGTTAAACAAGACTCCTTTGGTGCTGAAAACCTAAATCTTCTCGTAAACTTTCATTAAGAGATTTTTGTGCTTGTGATTCAAAGCATGAAATTCTTCATAACTATGACATACACGTACGTTTTTAAAAGAGGATTTTGTTACAGACCAGTGTTATATACAGAGTAATTGCTTTCCCTAGCTTCAGTCTTGGTAACAATTAACAAATTATATTCAGACAATTTATTTTGTTCCTTTTTTCATTTGCTATGATGGTTAATTTTGTAGAACATATGGACTTGCATGTCCACATCCGAAGAACCAAGTGTAATAAGTATTGATTCCCCGTTAACACAGCAAACACATGAAAACTACCAACATTTTGCAACGGCTACTGAGCTACATGTGGCACGTCACCTACCGCACAAATTTCTAATGGATTCATCAAGGTAAGATAATCATTAGTTTAAACAAATCGTAATGCTATACTGTTATATTCCTATTCTCCTTGGTTATATATTTTTATTTTTAATCTTCAATGTAGATTACATGATCAGCAGACGACGTTTCATGAGTTTCGACACCAAGGATATATTACTCAGCAACAGCATCAATTATATTGCCAGCAACATCGATATTTTCAAAATGAATCTTACAGAGGCCCATCAACAGATACTAATCATAACTCTAATAGTGCGCAGCCTACACTGGAAACTCCTTATATAACCAACACCGTGAAGTTCTTAAATAATCTCGATAAATGTATTCCTCTCAAACTCGATCAACAACATCGCCAGGCACTTACGATTTCGCAAGCGTTTGAAAAAGAGGTGGATCAACATATTTTAGTTAACACTGAACATGTTGGAAAAGCGAATGCCTCTAATTATGCAATGTCAATGCAGCCGTCACCACAATTGAACAATGCTTGTTTACCGAGAGGAAAGTACCACATTGACTCAAAAACCATTACACTCAGAATCAATGAAGATAAACATTGTCAGCAAGGTACAAACTGTGAACAAGGACAAACAAAGAAAAAAATTATATTAAACGATCAGCATCAACAGGTAGAAGCAGGTTATTTACAGAAGTAGGCATATGAACTTTAAACAATAATATATGTATGTGCGTACGTAGACACAAGAAAAGTATGATGACATCTAAATTAAAAATGACATGATAGTATAAGCATCTCCAAATTTATATCCGTACCCCCAAAATTAAACCGTTATTACAAAATATTTCAATGTGAAAACGGTCATATGCTACGCTCAAATATGATACTTTTGTAACACTAAACTAAATTTTAAAACAACATTCATCAATATAATTTACGAAATAAATATTGGACAGCTAACATATCAAAAATAAAATAGTTTTAACACACCATTGTGGAGTTTTGGATTCGTTTTCTTTTCTTTACACTAGCAAAGCAAACGTAACTGCAGCACGGCCCCAATTGAAAACACATCAAGTAAGCACTTAGCGTTGATTTTATCGATTTCTCTGATCGCTATACAAATTCCAAGGAAACACGGCGTTGCTTGATCAGCTGTTGTCGTTAACTACTCGCTCACAGGAGTATCCCTAATACGAGTATGTATTTTCACATCACAGAAAATGTGCGTAAATAATCCACCTGAACGTATACAATAGGAATATGAATTCGTCTCTAATTAGTTACAATTTCTCATCTTTCCCCTTACCTTGTTGTCTCACGTTTATGGTACCTACAATTCGTGAAGACACTGAAGGGGCTGAAAGAGAATGAATATGCGGTGGGCGGTCGATAAGGTAGTTAGTGAAGGCACATCTCAGCTTAAGCTTATGAATTTTGAATTTCAACTAAGAGGTCACTTTTCTTGCGGTTTGAAATCAAGTGTCAAGCTGTCCGTCTTTTAAATTCGACTTCCCATGTTGTGGTTTTTCTCTCATACATTGTACTGAAAGAAATTGCTGATCATCAGATTCCTTCTGTGGCAAAATGGCTTATTATCAATGCTTACTGGCTACGGTATGAGCTTCAGTAACAGGAAAAAAAATCATTAAGCCGGATTAATGCGTGTGTGTGTTTGTTGTGAATATTTCGTCCTTCCCCAGCACATCTGTCATAGGTCTGACCGTTAAAGCAATTTTGGTATGAACCGTCAAAAATATAATGCCAAACCTAAAACCCGTTCTAAACTTCTTATCTTTGGGTAACAGTTATTTACTGCTGCGGTCTTTTCTTCCGAAATTTGTAAATTTCCATTTTCTGTAATATATCCCAGAAAATCAACTTTCCTATTTAAAAACTGACAATTCCCCCACTTCATTTCCAACCGGTCTTGCGGTTTCTTTATGCCACCTTCTTCATCTTTCGTAGGAATAATCAAATCGTCACAGCATTCACAAATCTACAAAAAAAAACGCAGCTGAATTAGACATCCCAAAAGGTACGACACAAAATATTGGCCATTGCTATTTACAAATCATGTAGATAAGATGTATGTTGTAAAAATGCTTCTACCATTGAACCTATCTAAGACATCGTTCATTATCACCCCAGGGATATTGTCACGAACGAGTTTTTTTGATTAATCGTCATATGATCACATTATGATTGCTGTATCAAATCTTTCCCTTTCGCTGCTGTAGTCGCTGCTTCTCGACGACTGGCTTTCATGCTTTGGCTAAGTACAGTCCTCAGATTTACAAATTCTTAGTTTTAATGGAAAATGTCAATTTCAAGATGTTGGTACATATATCATCTTCATTTGCTTCTTCTTAGATGCGTAAAATTTCATCAACTAAATAAATTTCGTTATTAACTGCTGCAGCGCCGACGTTGTCACTTTGACAGTACTTGATTTTGTGTTTCGGACCTCGCACTTTGGACTTAGCAATTTTGGTGCTATTGCAGAAATGTTATCTATTATAACTTTAAGCGAAAACTCACCGTCGACCAAGTTGTTGCTTACCATAATAAATACTATCGTCAGCTTAATGGTTTCTATGAAATATGCGTGGTCTTTGGTGGAAAATCTATACCAAATGGTAGGAATAATCACAAGTGTTTTCGTGTTAATATTCTTTAAGTTTTTATTTATTAAGGTTTATGTACTATTGTATGTGGATTTACCACATGGTACCTATNACAATATTGTAAACACAAGTAATCACGGGTGTTAGAAACCTACCCAGAATTGCTTATTTTTCGGAATTTGAAATGGTTATGAAACACCATATTTGTGATTAATAATTAAAAATAAAATGACTTCGGCAGTGAAGGTTTTTTTTTTTTATCACATTGACTACATCAATCAAATCTACATCAGCGGACATATTAGTCTAATTTAAACTTAGTCGTAGTCGCTCCAGTGTTTTTGCTATACCACCAAGAAATCCATTAGGCTGATAATGCCATTTTCAATGATAGAACGCACTTAAGTTTTTGGTATCAAAAGATTCGTAAGGTGTAATAGGAAACGCTTCACAATCGGGATCACCGTGTATTCAGTGCGTTTATAAACGTGACTATCTATTATTTGTAGGTCGGGGAGACTTTCACCGTTTTCCTAAACTTGACGTATTAGCTTCTTGTTCTCTTCGGATAAAAACTCTGAGGACTGCAGGTCAACCAATGGACGGACTTCCAGACTAGCGATTTCATCGAAATTTTGACGTGACAAGCTGTTGGGGACAATATTCTGATTTCCTTTTCGATTTCCAATTTTGGATCTTTAACCTTGAAGTTTGAGGGACTATCGAGCTAATCTACTAGACAAATCCGACTGACGCATGAGCTATTATAAGCTAGCGTGGTCTGTGGCGATAGTAAAGTCCTGCCCCTCCAAGCTTACTAGCATCGCATTGAATTATGAATGGCATTTCATAATTAGGGCTAGCTAACACGGGTGCCGTACATAGCATTTGCTTTAGCGTATCTAATGATTACAGTGCCTTGTCGTTCCAGGAAAACCTCTTACTTTTCTTCGACAAATTAGTTAGAGGTGTGGTTACTGCTGCGAAATTATACACAAAACGACGGTACCAACCGGCCATGCCGAGAAATCTTCAAAGTTGTTTCACACTGCTAGGAACGGGATAATTCGTGACGGCGGATATCTTATCTGGGTGGGTACGAAGCGAACTATTTCCAACTATGTACCCAAGGTATTAAACTTCTCGGATACAGATTTTGCTTTTGCTTATGGTAATAGTTAAATCTCTAAGCTCTTCTAAATTCGTGTGCAACCTCTGCGAGAACGGACATATGATCGTCAAAAGTTTCGGACACCATTAAAAAGTCGTCTAAGTATACGAAGGCCTAGATTTTCAATTGCGGTGAGATTACGCGGTCAACCAAGCGACAAAATGCTAACAGGGCATTGCATAAGCCAAAAGACATCTCACGATATCTATACAGCGGCCGATTTGGGAAAATGACCTAAAGGAATTTGCAAAAGGCACGACGCAAGTCAAGTGAGCTTATATATTCAACCTTTGATATTCTGCTAAAAATAACGTAATGTGAGGAAGTGTATAAGCGTCCTTAATAGTGACACTACTAATTTTTCTGAAGTCAACACAGAGACGGAACTTATTTGGCTTTTTAACTTACACAACCGGACTTCACCATGGGCTATTAGGAGCATTCTCGATTGCACCTAACTTGATCATTTCATCAATTTCTGCATGAACTAACTTCTCAACGGCAGGCGATATAGGGAAGTAACGCTGTTTTATCGGACGGACATTTCGTTCAAGCTCTATGGCATACTTTTTCCATTAAGTTGAGCAAGAAGGAAGAATCGTGGATACATATCGGATTTGATGTCATCGTTTGAGTAGTTACGGCAAGGCAAAGAAAGCAAAGAAAACGTTCAAAAAGTCAGCAGTGAAAGTATGTTCCATGTTTTGTTTAGTACTGGTTAATATCAAATATTTGACAATATCTTAAAGAACTAAATAAATAAACGAAAATCTAAACATTTTCATTCTTGAATTGTCTTGTCAAGATAATTTTTTTTTGTAAATATAATAAAATTTTACAAATCTTTCATAAGTATTACGGATGGTTTTAATTTCATTTGAAACAATATTGTAAACACAAGTAATCACGGGTATTAGAAACCTACCCAGAATTGCTTATTTATCGGAATTTAATATGGTTATGAAACACCATATTTGTGATTAATAATTAAAAATAAAATGACTTCAGCAGTGAAGGTTTTTTCTTTGATGATAGAAGGATTTGAAGAAAACAGCCAAGGACCAATATCTTCTTAACAAAGAAGCCTTTGTAATAGTGTTGGATATCAATGAAGACCAGTTAGAAAGGCTTCAACATGCAGGGATACTGCGATTTTTGGCAGGAGGCTCCTATCAATAGTATGTGGGTAATGACTTAAATTTCTCCTAAGCGCAACCTACACTCTCCTGATTGTTTATTACTTGTGCCACAGGTTCTGATGGGTATTTATTATTATTGATTTGAAAACCAACTTTGAAACTAATCTTCGAAACATCTCAGAATTTAATTGAAAAGTAGATTTTTTAAGAAACTGCATTCTAGTAGAAAAAATCATCTTCTTTGGCAAAGTAACTCGTAAGCCTTTTACCTTGTGAGGCTCTCTTATTTTTATTCAACAAATTTTCTTGACGGATCTGAAGATCTATCTAGATTAAATTGTATGAAGAAGAAAATGTAAATAAGACTCCTTTGGTGCTGAAAACCTAAATCTTCTCGTAAACTTTCATTAAGAGATTTTTGTGCTTGTGATTCAAAGCATG